GCTAAAACTGGCAAGTACGCAATTTTGGCCAATCAGCACCTCCTCATAGAGAAGTATTGAATCAATGCATCTCTATGAGGAAAATGCCATGCAGAGCGGGGAGACGCTCAACAGCAGTACTGCCTACTGTGCAGCACTGCCCCAGGAAGTACCTCCAGTGGCCATCTGAGGAGTGGCCACTGGAGGTATCCCTAGGGGGCAATGTAAACACTGCCTTTTCAATGTTTGCATAAAAGAAATGCCTGAAGAGAATGATTATACTCACCAGAACAACTACATTAAGCTGTAGTTGTTCTGATGACTATAGTGTCCCTTTAATTCTGATTTCTGAAAATGTAACATTGTAACAAAGTCATATAAGTATTATAAGTGTTAGCAAAGATTGTTACCCAGTGATCAGTTCCAGTATATAAAAGATGTGAGCAGTATATTATAGGTATCCTCTACGTACAGTATCTTTTTTTTTATTATTATTATTATTTATATAAAAATGACTTTTGCCAACAATGATTTTCACACCTTAGAGCTAGGAAAAGTGTTATGAAACATGTGCATATATTCAAAGTGCTGTATTGTTTGCTTAGTTTTAGTTTTCTGTATACACTTTGCAGCTGTAAACTATATAAACACAAATCCAATACATAAGTATTTCTAAAGTTTTTTATATATTTATTGTTCCAGACACAATCTGTTCACAGTTTTCTAACAGGGGAATATTTTGTAGTGTTTTATAGGGAAAGCCCCATGCATATTCATTCAGCAGTAAAAAAAAAAAAATATTCTTGTTTTTGTATTTATGCAAGTTTACTCCTAAGAAATATAATGAAGATAGAAGTATAAGAAAAAATTGATGTAGTAGTAAAAAGGATACATCAATTTTGGATACATTTTTGAAATTATTTAATATTTTTGGATAGTTTGTTAAAATTATTTTTAAAAATACTAAAATATCAAAATATATATATAAAAATATCAATATAATATAAGAATAAAATCTTAAAATATTTCTCAAAGTATTAAATTACTTTAAAAATGTGTCCAGAAATATTAAATAATCAGAAAAAATGATCTAAAAATATTAAATGGAAGTCGAAGTAAAAAATTTTTTTTAAAAAAGAACATTGGTATAATGGGTTAAATAAGGACAATGTGCAATGGGGGTTGGTGTGGTAGAGAAGAGAATGACCTGTTGATGGAGAGGGAAATGCATTTAGTGTAGATGAAGATCTTGGGAAGAGGAATTAGTTGAAAGTGATGAAAAGCCGCCTAGGAAATGGAAAGTTAGGGATGGAAAGTAGGTTAATATGAAGTGATATTGTATATTAACAATGCACAACACTGGCTATTTATCAATGATTGTAATTCTTAACAGCTTTTACATTTTTAAATCTAGATTTTTTTTCCTTAGGATTTCAAATCTTAAAAAAAACAAAAAAAAAAAACAAAGCACATCACTAGATATATGCAAAGCTTAGCAGGATGGCAAATGGAAAGGGAAGGTAAGGGGCAGAGAGCTGACTGCACCAGGGTGTGCACACTTGGACCCATGAGGTGTCCCTCACACTTAGAAACACAAGATGGAAATCTCTGATTAGGGGCCCATTCTGGTGCCCCTGTCACATTGGCATTATTAGGAGGAAGAGAGGCCAGGACACTTTCTACCAGCTTACACAGCACTGGGCAGGGAAGCAGATGAGAACCCAGAGATGAGGAAAGAGCAGACTGACAGAGTCTGGACCAGACTTTCTTCATCCCCAGACTTCCAGCAGTCAGATCCCATGATTGGACCTCATGGAAGCCACACTTCTGCACCTAAGAGGCATGGATGCAGGGGATGGCTAAAATATATACATTCTGACTTGTGTGTGTTTTTGTCAGTATGTATGTGCATCTTTATCATGTGTGTGAGTGTCAGTGTGTATGTTTATCTGTGTCAGAATGTCCATGTATCTGTGAGTGTGTGTGTGTGTGTGTGTGTGTGTGTGTCAGTATGTATGTTTATGTGTGCCAGAATGTGTGTATGTGTCAGAATATGTGTATCAGTTTGTATGTGTATCTGTGTCAGTATGTGTGTGTGGCAGTGTATCTATATGTGCCAGTGTGTATGTGTATCTGTGTGAGTATATTTGTGTGCGGCAATGTATGTGTATATGTCCTTATGTATATTCTAACACCATACATAATATACCCCTACAGTGAAAGTTAAAACTTCCTTCAAATACCTCTGCTTTCAAACTCCAACAGTAAACACAAATGTAAACCTTCATGCAAATGCCAACCTATAAACATACCTCTGCAGTAAAACGCAATACTACATTTTTTGACAGAGAAGTTGTGATAGGTGATCGGGAGGACTGTTTCCATGTTGTGTGTTACACAATAACATTTTGTCACTTGATTTACCTGATACATTAGCAAAGGGGAGGGCTGGCAGCCTTAGGCCTGGGGGGGCAAATCCAGTCAAGTGGCCCATTTCACCACCCAATCAGCTCACCATTTATGCCCACCTTTTCCTGGTTTTATAACGGATATTGATGTTAAGAAGCAAGACAAATATGATACAATGTGGTTTATGTGGGGTTGATGATGAGTGGAGGGGGGGTGATGGTGAAAGGGAGGGGGTGATGGTTTGAGGGAGGGGGTGAATGGTTTGAGGAGGGGGGTTGATGGTGTGAGGGAGGGTGTGAAGGTGTGAGGGTTAGTGATGGTGTGAGGGAGGGGGGGATGGTGTGAGGGAGGGGGTGATCATAGAAACATTTGAAACATAGAATGTGACGGCAGATAAGAACCATTCGGCCCATCTAGTCTGCCCAATTTTCTAAATACTTTCATTAGTCCCTAGTCTTATCTTATAGTTAGGATAGCCTTATGCATATCCCACGCATGCTTAAACTCCTTTACTGTGTTAACCTCTACCACTTCAGCTGGCAGACTATTCCATGCATCCTCTCAGTAAAGTAATACTTCCTGATATTATTTTTAAACCTTTGTCCCTCTAATTTAAGACTATGGCCTCTTGTTGTGATAGTTTTTCTTCTTTTAAATATAGTCTCCTTCTTTACTGTGTTGATTCCCTTTATGTATTTAAATGTTTCTATCATATCCCCCCTGTCGCGTCTTTCCTCCAAGCTATAGATGTTAAGTTCCTTTAACCTTTCCTTGTAAGTTTTATCCTGCAATCCATGAACCAGTCTAGTAGCCCTTCTCTGAACTCTCGCTAAAGTATCAACATCCTTCTGGAGATACGGTCTCCAGTACTGCATACAATACTCCAAGTGAGGTCTCACCAGTGTTCGGTACAATGGCATGAGCACTTCCCTCTTTCTACTGCTAATACCTCTCCCTATACAACCAAGCATTCTGCTAGTATTTCCTGATGCAAGTGGCATCATTGGAATGCACTTATAGTCCTGCCTACCTCTTGTCACCATTTCATAACTCCCAAAGTTGGAATGTATGGTATTTCATGTGTCTGGTTTGTTAACAGGGGTGTCACAGACCTGTAATGCCAATCAGAAGCTGGAATCCAATAGCAGCGAGACAGCAGATCCTTACAAGCACAACCTCTAGGGCAGCATTTCCCAATTGGTGTTCCGCGGAGGGAGCTGAGCAAGGAGATCACTGCTCCCTCGCCGCCCGCACGCCAGCTGCTCAGCAGACCCACTGGACCCCAGGGACTCCATGCCAGCATTCTTAAAGATAGGGGGCTGGGTGGATTAAATGTAAAAAAAAAAAAACAATATTGTGTGTCTGTTAGGGAGTTTGTATGTGTTTGTGTGTGTCTGTCAAAGAGCATATGTGTGTTTGTCAGTGAGAGTGTATGTGTTTGTCAGTGAGAATGTATCTGTTCTTGGCAGTAAAAGTGTATATGTGTTTGAATGTGTGTCTGTAAAAGAGTATGTGTGTATGTCAGTGAGAGTGTATGTGTGTCTGTCAAAGAGTATATGTGTCTGAGTGTGTCAGTGTGTGTATCTGTGTGTCAAGGTTTGTGTATGTGTCAGTGTGTATCTAAGTGTGTGTGTGTGTATCTGGGTGTGTCAGTGTGTGTATGTGCCAGTGTGTATTTGTGGGTGCAAGTGTGTGTATATGTCACTGTATGTATCTGAGGGTGTGTGTATTTGTGAGTCAAGATGTGTGTATCTGAGTGTGTGTATGTGTGTGTCAGTGTTTATCTGTGTGCCACTATGTGCCAGTGTGTGTTTATCTGTGTGTCAGATACATACACACTAATACAGAGATACACACACACTGGCGCATACAAACACAGATATACACACCTTGACAAACACCGGCACATACAAACACAGATACACACACACACAGATACACACTGTGTGTCAAGGTGTGTGTATCTGTGTGTCAAGGTTTGTGTATGTGTCACTGTGTGTATCTAAGTGTGTGTGTGTGTGTGTGTCAGTGTGTGTGTATCTGGGTGTGTCAGTGTGTGTATGTGCCAGTGTGTATTTGTGGGTGCAAGTGTGTGTATATGTCACTGTATGTATCTGAGGGTGTGTGTATTTGTGAGTCAAGATGTGTGTATCTGAGTGTGTGTATGTGTGTGTCAGTGTTTATCTATGTGCCACTATGTGCCAGTGTGTGTTTATCTGTGTGTCAGATACATACACACGCACACACAGATACACACTAATACAGAGATACACACACACTGGCGCATACAAACACAGATATACACACCTTGACAAACACCGGCGCATACAAACACAGATACGCACACACAGATACACACTGTGTGTCAAGGTGTGTGTACCTGTGTCAGTGTGTGTATCTGTGTGCCACTATCTTCCAGTGTGTGTGTGTATCTGTGTGTCACTGGCACATACAAACACAGATACACACACCTTGATACACAGACACATACAAACACAGATACAAACATTTTGACACACAGATACACACACCTTGACACACAGATACATAAATACATACACAGACACACAGATACACACTGTGTGTCAGTGTGTGTAATTTGTGTGCTACTATGTGCCAGTGTGTGTGTGTGTGTGTGTGTGTATTTGTGTCAGATATACACACACACACATACACACACTGGCACATATAAGCACAGATATACACACATTGACACACACTGGCACAATTTATTTATTTTTTGGGGGGGGAGGGAGGGTCCGTGATGTTGATACACTATGTATCTGACAGGGTTCCACTGGAAAAAATAATTGGGAACCTGAAAGTAGATTAATTCTATAATATGGAAAGAGTTAAAGGACTTTTTCACCCTCAGACATGATTATTTCTTTTAACAATACCTAGTAAATATATTAACATATATTCACATAATGACATTTTCCATCATGCTGGCCTTTTACTTCTGAAGCTGTATCCTTAAGTGGTTAAATGCCAAAATAGAAAGGACACAGCAGCACTCTCACTATGATATGCTTTTTCGACAAGCTGCAAATTTGCATGGAACTAGAAAAATTATGCTAGCGTGTCTTTATTTCATCTTAGGTGTACTTTTATTTTTTTAAATACAGCCACAAGCATATACAGCACTTTAAACAAAATGCATCATGTGCATCACATGCATTTGGAAACATTGATATTTATCCACAAATATCTAAAAATAATACTAATACTTTCTCTTTTGTGTATAAAGCAGCGTTAAGAATTGCTGAGATGTTCATTTTAAGAAAATCGATAAGGCATCAGCAATACTTGCCTTTTTATTTTTAACTTAGTTAAATATATAATCCCTATTACTCAGCACTATATTAGTGGTTTTCCATTACTAATCTAATTACTGTCTTACATCGTTAGTGCTGTTATAAAAGATATATTTGTCATGTACTTCCAATTAAAAAAGTGCAATATTTCTCCAAAACAATGAAATATTCCAATGAATAGTAGTGGCCCATAATTATTATATATGGGAGGCTTACACCATAAATAAATAAAGAAATACCTTTCAGTATTTTCTTAATAGACTGGATGAATTGAACACTTTTCAGAGCAATACATTTGCTGTGATTTGTAATAATTGTAATTCTCACTGAAAAGCATTTAATGTTTTTCATTCCCCATCTGTATACATACTTACCAGCATTTCAAATGGACAAGAAGGAACTGTTCTGAGAATTTTTATGTGACTTACTAATAATAATTCACGCAACTAAAACATAATTTAGAACAAGAACAATGTATTTTATTTGGACAAAAAGACAAATCTATCTGCCATTTTCTTCCTTTTTATATTGCCTTATTGTTGCATACATATCATGATCTTTAAATACACTGAAAACACTTACTTTTGGAGTTACCCCTAGAGGGGAGACAAGCATACATATTAATTTTATCTTGTGAGTGTTCTCCCCCCTCTCCCCCCTTCCATGCTCCTTTTACATACAATAGTACACTATTGTCAGGTTCAGATTAACACAGGGGCTGATGGAGCTGCAGCTCCACGCCCAGGCCCATGGAACAGGCCCATTAATTGAAAAAAAAATGTAAAAAATTTTACTTTTAATTTTTTTTTTTTTTTTATACACTACTCTTTTATTTGAGGCTGCTTGGCTGGTGCCGATATTGCAGTATTACCGGCAATACAAATGCCGGTATTTTTCTCAGTATAAACAAAGATTACTCTGCAATACCAACACCAGCCAGTAGGGATCGCTGTGTGTGGAGAGAGGCAGGGATAGGAAGTTACAGCATATACCTGCATCTCTCTACTCATTGATCCGCGGGGGAACAGCTATACAGCACAGAGAGTCCAGACAGCAGCTCCCAGTCTGCAGAGACATGGGGACACTGAGACGCTAGGGGACACTACAAGACATGGGGACACTGAGACACATGGGGACACATGGAGACCTCTGAGGATGCTGAGACACTTGGGGACAAAGACACACATCGGGACACTGAGACATGGGAACACAGACACACATGGGGACCCTGAGACCTGGGAACACTGAGAGACATGGGGACACAGACACACATGGGGACACTGAGACATGGGGACACAGACACTTGGGGATACTGGGAGATATAGGGACACTGAGACATTTGGGGACATTGTGTCTCTAGTGTCTCAGAGTCCCCATGTCTCCCAGCCTGGTGTCTCAGTATCCCCATGCCTCCCAGTGTCTGTGTCGCTAGTGTCTCAGTGTGCCCATGTCTCCCAGTGTCCCTAGTGTCTGTGTGCCCATGTCTCCCAGTGTCCCTAGTGTCTGTGTGCCCATGTTTCCCAGCGTCCCTAGTGTCTCCGTGTCCCCACGTCTCCCAGTGTCCCCTAGTGACACAGGGACACAGACACTAGGGGACACTGGGAGACAGGGAGACACTGGGAGCAATCCATCTATACAGCAGTATCAAACTGTAAGTAGTTTTTGGTGATTTTACAGAATGTTCTCTTATGTCACTCCTTGTGATTTACAACATGTGATGTCATGCACACATAATTAGTTATGCAAATTAGTAAGGCCTGTATTTTTTTCCAAGTAAGGTGGCAACCCTAACTACTCTTCACATACTCTTGCCTAAGTATGGAAACTTAAGAGGGATATATAGAAACAAAACTTGTGTGGACAAGTTGAAATGAAATTAGTTAAGGTAATGCTGACTTTGGTCTCACTAACACTGACCAAAGTGTTCCCTTTCTTCTACACTCACTACATCCACCTTTTCCCTGTCTCAGACTGTATACCAGGAGCTTCTGCCTGCTGGTAAGACGGTAAGGAGACAAGTAGACATGTAAGTGCCAGGGGACAGTCCTTAGAAAGCATGGAGCGAGTGCATCTATAGACACATTTATGCCAAGCTCAGGATGCTGTTGGCCACCATGCATGATTGGCAGGCAGCCTGACATGCATTTATGCCAGGCTAGCCTTCCAATTCTTTGGGCAGACACGCCTCCTTTTTGGGCATGTTCGTCCCTTTCAGGAGTTCTGGTTACATGATCCGTGTCAGTGGCCAATCTTTTACACCACCCATTGACTTCCTGCTTCACTGGACACTTCTGTTAGGGGGTATGGATTAATGAAAGCATTAATTTTTTATTGTGGTGTGGTGTTGGGCTTATCGATGTAGGATTAGTCTCTTAGTTAGGAGGCATCCTAGCGGTTAGCAACTAAGGACCGAACAATCATGCTTATGGTATGTTTATTAACTCTTAGCTACTCTAGGGTATGACTATTCCAGCGGAATCTCACATCTACACCTTGTATCCACATAGGGTATTACTTACTTCATAAGGCTGTCTGCAGTCTAGCTGGAGAGGTTATCTCTGCACTTGGAAGGTGTAATGTGTATAACCTGCATAGGGACTTTTTTACCTCCATATTCTGGGTTACCTACCTGCAAGGATTTGTACTCTATAACTATTTATTTGAGATTTATTAGTATGTTACAGTTCCGCTTGAGGGCAGCTGGGAGCAATATCCTCTAAAGGTGTTTGGGTAACGCATGGGGGAATACGTACTGGGTGCATGATTCAAACAGAATTGCACTTGACATACTTCCATTTATTTATAAGTACAGATCCCGTCTGTGTATCTATCGACACACTGCTGCCATTTGGGCAAATAACCATACTTACAACATTTGTGGCTTTTTGTATACAGGCAGACTTACTTTTTTACCTCCTGTGAAGATACATACTCAATCCTACTTTGAGACATTTAGTGGACATGCCACTCCACATTTACCCTAGCAATCAATAAAGTATTTTCCATATAATTTAGCACTGGTTAAGTGTGAAGGGATTGTCTTTTAATTTCCTTCCCATAGGAGGTCCATACATTTTTAATTGTTGTTTTAGGTTTTCCCCTAAATTGTAACTAGAAGCTCTGGATTCTAAAGGCTATCCAACACCTTTTGGGTTCCTCATTTGGAACAAGTTTTTTTTGTAATTACAAATTAGGGTTAGGCCCTTTTAAGTTGGATAGTCCACTATAAAGAGACCTAAAACCTTCTTTTTCTCTATTGACAGTCCTTAGAAAGCATGGAGTGAGCGCATCTATAGACACATTTATGCCAAGCTCAGGATGCTGTTGGCCAGCATGCATGATTTGCAGGCAGCCTGACATGCAATCATGCCAGACTAACCTTCCAATTCTTTGGGCAGACACGCCTCCTTTTTGGGCACGTTCGTCCCTTTCAGGAGTTCTGGTTATATGATCCGCATGAGTTAGAGAGAGATTAGCATATTTTAAGAGCATCTGAATTTTCTTATAGCTGCATCACATTCACAGGTTGTATTTGATTTATCTACTTATTGTATGGTTTATTACACCATCTTGTGTGTTTGAGTAGTTTACTTAGAGTCTCTGATTTTGGTATATACTTCACATCTATATGATTTATGTGTTCATATTTGGACAGAATGATTTCTAAATGCACTTATTATGGGTTAAAGACACATTGCTATGAGCATTATTGCTGTGGAGCTCTGTTATGCACTCAGACACACCAACAATAGTGAACGCCTAGAAAAGAGGGACTTAAGACAGAAAAGTCGAACATAGGTATTTGAGCCCAAAATAGGGACTGTCCCTACTAAATAGGGACATTTGGCAGGTAACAGTATAAGAGTTTTCATTCATAAGAAAAAAAGTGATGCACATGTGAGCATTGACCCTTCTATGACATTTCTTTTACTCTGCCCTATATAATCCGTGACATTGATTTGACACTGAATCCTTGAATTTTGTCACAAACGATAAAAAAAAAAAGAATATATATTTATATCTATATGAAAAGAAAAATAAATGAGTTAAAATACAGTGTAAGCAGTCATCACAACCCCAAAAAATAGCATTCTAAGTAAGGTTGTTAGGATGCAATAGGAGGATAGCCCAAGACTATATACTGCTAAGATGTGGATAAGACTTGATTTAGAGACTACCAAGTAAACCCCTGTTGAATGCAAACTTGAGGTGTAGTGTGCAATCAGTAATGAGATATTCCAGCAGTGAGCACCTTTGAAAAAAGGAAAATTAAATCACAAGCAAATCCTGACTAAAGACATATTTTCATAAAGATTTGCTAGTTGGCACAAAGCAGTAAGCAACACCATTAAACACCATATTGTGGCC